ATAACAGCAAGGAAAGGAGGCAACAGGGAGAAAAGAAGTAACTTTTATGGAGTGTTTCCTCTAGCCATGTGCCATGCTGGTGACTTGTCACCTGTGATCTCATTGCACCATGGCAACATCCACACGTTTGGGTTGGTTGTTACTGTCCTCACTTCACTGTGCAGTAACTCAGGTTCAGTGTGGGGAGGTGACAAATCCAAAGCTAAAAGCCTTGACCAGAATCACGTACTCTCTCTTGAGATGCACTTATCCTCCTGTCAAAGGTGCCATAGAGCAGGAAGTCACCTGACACCCAATCCACATACCATCTGGCTGGAATGATCCATGTGGTTTCTTTTGTTGAAGTACAGCTGCCCTGGGGATTGCTGCATCTTTATGGGAACCTGATTGCCCCTGAATTGTGACTTGGCAAGGTTCAGCATATGGGCCTGAAGTCACCTGCTGGCATTCTCCCACATGAGCCCACAGGAGCGACCAGGAAGGCACATTAGTACCGTTTTCCCAGCACCTCCAGCTGTCTTGATAGTTTTCAGCTCCAGTGCCTGTGGTGGTCACTTCTTCCTGCATTTAACCCTTCCTGCTGCAAAGAAAAACTAAAAGATGAAGACAGAGCCCTGGACAGGGGTCAGAAGCCCTGTGTTCTGAACCCAGCCCTGCTACTTACTTACCTACTAGGGAGTCTTGGGCAAGACCCTCAGTGTCTCTGGGTTCTGTCTTCCCACTCATAAAACTAGGACTCTGTTAACATGTGTGAAATTATGAAATTTCACAACAGGGGCTAGTTTTTAAAATCATGATAATCCCGGCCTTCTGGAACATGGTTCTTAAACTTACCTTGAGCAATCTCTCCTCCCTTTCTCCTCTAGCCAACTGGCCATTAGGTTTCACTGGCACATTTTTCTCTCCAGCTTTTCAAACAAAAATAAAGGTTCATGATCATTCTGGAAGAGTCCAGAGATTGGAGCCAAAACATAGTAGACCACCTTTGTGCATCTGAAGCTTTTGTCCTCAGAGGAATCCACAGAGCGCCTCGACTAACTGAAGATAGGATGCCCCACAATACGAGTCTAGAGCTCGGGGTTCTGGTCTTGTCTGTGTTACTAACACAGGTAACCTAGGACCAGCCTGCAGTGTGTGTACATTGGGGAGCACATGAGTTATATGTTTACCAACCTGGGACCAGGGGCTCTCTCAGGGAAATTCCATCATCCTCAGAGTTTAAATGCTCTGTTCTACCACTGCAGGTTTTTGAAAATCTGAATGAATATGAACATGGTCTCCTCCTTGGCATACAGCTACATGCCCACAAAAATAAATAGTTGTAACCGGGACTGATGCCCTGGCCACAGCCCCAGCCCCTTGCTCACTTCTGGCAGTGGAGAACTGAGTCTGTACAGCTTGCTAGAATAATCAAAAAGGCCCTCCTAGATCATTGGTCCACATTGCCCTTCATCTAGATAGGGACCCTACAGCCCAGAAAGAGGAAATTCCAGGATTCTGACTCCTGGGACATCAACTTAGCCACCACGTGCAGACAGTTCTCATTTCCCTCGTGTTCTGTTTTCAAAACAAAGCCCCTTAGGACATTTCATTCAGCTAGGAGACAAACGAAGCAGGAGTACGTTCTGCTCCCAGGCCTCCCAGGCCTCAAAGCTCCAGAAACATTGTGGGATTCCAGCTGCGTGTGGCATCCTCTGTTTATAAGTCACTCCTTGTCTTCATACCAAAAGGGAAAGTCATAGTATGAATTTACAGGGTGATGAGGACACTTGGGTTGTATGACTGATGACCCACAAAATGTTATCTAGCTCTGGACAAGAGCTTCACAATTCCTAAATCAGCCCAACCAGTCTCTGACTGAATAGCACTGACTGGCCAAGTGTTTGAACTGTCAGCTCTGTGACATACTGTGTGACTTCGGTGCCCTTAGTGGCAGTCTGCCCATTGCCACTCTGAGAAATTGGGATTAGAACATTGCTGGCCATCAGCTGAGGGCTTCATTTTCTTCAGCTCCCACCCAGAACCTCAGTGTTTGAGTCCCCAGTCGGGCTGCAGCTTTGTCAAATGTGAAAGCACAGAAATTGTGCCCTCCTCTGAGGTCTTCTCCAAGTTCAACAGTGCCCTTCTCTCAAGAGCTCCTCTAGTGTCCTGCTTTCAGCCCCCTTTCTGAACCAGCCCTGGCAATGCCATTCTTAAAAAGAAGCTACCCATGTTTATCTGTTGGCTAGAAACCATCTAAAAGATTCTTTAAGAAAAACTAAAATATGCCATGCCTTTTGACTTCAGGAAATGCAAATGCTTCACAATAAGGTTAATTTTTTCCATCCTTGAGTTTCTCAGAATTACAACTGAGGTCACCCCACTAAACATGTGAAGACCAAAGGGGAAAAACAGCAAAAGAACCTGCATGTATGAGAGGCAAACCTGGGCTTGTACTCCTGCCACCACTTGTTTGTTGTCACACACCTGATGCAGATGCCACCACAAGTGGTGTGGCATGAAGGGGTTTTGAACTGAGGTGGGGGTGGGAGCTGTCTCTGGTGTGATGTGCTGGCCTTTTCCCAGGGCTTGTGTCTCATCCTCCTTTGTAAGCTCACCTGCAAGCCTGCAGGTGACCTGACTTATTCCAGCTCTGAAGGGAATGACCAGCCGACATCCAGTACATCTCACTCATGCCCTGTGTACTTAGCTGGTCTCCACAAATGGAAATGAGAGAGTCAGACTCGATGAGTTGATTCAGCAAACATTTACAGAGCATCTTTGAGGCTGGACAGTGGGGAAGAGTAAGAGAGCTCACAATCTAATGGAGGAGGCAAATAAGTAAACAGAGGAAGGGTCAGAGAGAGTCCTAGGGATGACTGTCTGGCTGTGTTTCAAATGACAGCTGGCCTCATGAAGGTGGGGTTCCAGAGAAGCAAGTGCCAAACAGAATGACAAATCAGCTTGTTGTATTTGAGGGCACTGCAAGCCCCAAACTCTTGTGGAGTAGTCAGTAATCCACTTGAGCATTAAGACACATCCCTGAGTTTGACTCTCCACCCTACTACCAACAATTGTATAAATGTGAACCTGTCACCGAACTTTTTAAAGCCTTGGTTTCCTCATGTACATGATAGAAATGATGATAGACCTGCCTCCTGGGATGCTTGGGAAACTTAAATGAAATAACGTGTGTAACAAGCTTAGCAAAATACCTAGAATATAACAATTGCTCAATTCATATTAGTTCTTATTATAATCACTGCTGTTGTGATGATTGTGATGATGACCAATGATGATTACTGTTGATGTAGAGAAAAAGGGAAGGAAGGGAGATGAAGGATGAGACCGGAGAGTCTGGCAGGGGTTAGAACACAAGGGGCTGTGAATTCCATGCCGAGGAGCTCGGACATGCTCACACAGACAAAAGCAATCAGAAGGCCAATCCAAGCAGAGATTCAGCCAACCTGCCCTGGGCTTCCTTCTGACCTGATGTTTCATAGCCCCAAATCGGAGGTTAAGGCAGAGGATCCTAGTGGTAATCTCAGCCTATCAAGGAAATAGCAGCATTCAGTGTGGGGGTTCTGATTCCATGTGCCCCAAGAGTGTAGGACAAGGACTGTAGCTGGCAGGACCAGAACATTGGTTGAAGGATGAAATCCAGAGAAGGGCAGCTGGTCTGCAGCCCTCACCACTAAAGGAGGGTGGATTCAGGTCAGAAGCTTTTTGTGGATCAAAGACAACTAAGGATGAAAACTGCCCCCTACTCTTGCTGGGGGAGCCCCTGTGTAAGCTTGCTCAAACAGCCTCTCAACTTCACTTTGAACCACTCTAAGGCCCCAGAGGTTTTCTCAGGCTGTGCAGAGAAGGCAATGGGGAAGGTTGGGAGCCCAACATATACTACTCAGAGACAGAAAGGACATGCGAAGGGTGTGGTCACCCCATCACATGAGCCTGTGGCTACCAGTTTCTAATGGATAGACTGAATGGTCATCTCTGGTGTCATCACCAAAAAGATGTCAATGCCAAGTTGGGGACCTTCCAGTTTTACAGATAAGGGATCCAACGCTCAAAGAAGAGAAGAGATTTGCTTCAAATAAACTGAGTCATTGCAGGAAATGTATAAGTTGATTCTTTGCATACAGAGTAGTTACTATAATAAGGACCCAAGCTATCATCTCTGGTAAAGATATTAAAATGTTTTTATTTCTTAACTACCATAATGACATAGATGGTGTGTTTGCATCTGTCAAAGAAGCTCCAGGTGGTAAGCTTCCTGTTAAAATATCTTTAATCCTCTGTTTTCTTAAAATTGAGTGGAAAGATGTTTTTATCTTTGTTGTCTAGTAAAATGGCCCAAATGAGGAAACCTGGCCTTTGGAATCAGACAGACATGGGGGAATCCTAGCATTTCTGTGTCCTTGCTTGACCTTGAGTGGGTCATTCACTATCTTAAGGTATCAGCGTTAACCCTGCAGGGTTACTCTGAAGACCAGACTAGCTAATGCAAGTGAAAGAACACAGAGTAGTCCCTGCTGTGTACTCAGCAGGTAGGATGACAATAATTATGGTGAGTATTACCAATTCTTATGGGCCATTGCTTGATTGAGTGCATGGTGCAATATATTCAACCTATCTGATCCCAAGGTATTTTTCTGCCTGTAAGAGGCACTTGATAATGCCTCTGTCATGTAATTATACAAGATGAAGTGAGGTGAGATATGAGAGTGACAAGAATAGTGGCTGGCACATTGCAGGATCTTGGGTTATATTTGTTTCCTTCCTCTGACTCCTACAGTCTTCTAAAAAATCCCAAGTGGATGCAATCAATAAAAAATAAACTTTAGAACCACAAACGTCCTAAGATACTTGACAGCAAAATGAAAACTCGAGTTTTCCTTTTACCCCCCACCCCAGTTGAAACAGAATAGTAATTGTCAACATCAAAGGGTCTTGGAAAAAAATCTGTCTGGAGTTCCCAGAGCAGCAAGAAAAATCATGTTTCATCTCTTTTCTTTTAGGAAATTGCTCAGAGGACCTCTTATGCATCTTGAAAAGGGCGCCATTCAAGAAGTCATGGGCCTACCTCCAAGGTCAGTAAACCCAAATTCAGGAAATCTAACCACATGAAGGCCACTTCTCATGGCAACTTGTAAGCCAGAAGTCCCAATTAGAGGCCCATGCTGAATATGACCAGTAGATATATTCTGTTTAGCCTACACTATATTTTTTATAATTTGAATCTGAATGCCTTAGGGGGAAAACAGAAAGTGTTTCTCTCCAAAGCTACAAGGCTCCTTTCCTCACCTCATTCACTCCTTTATGTGGCCTACTCAGCCTTTGTAGGCATTTTTGTCCCCCACTCTCTTCACCACCTATCCTGTCTATTTAAGCTACCTTCCAGATTGGGACAAGTACACAATCCTTTTTCCTAATGCAAGGGAAGTAGGCTCTTAGTCTCTGACTGTAGAAAGTTATTCCCAAGGGAACCACAAAATTGCCTTGTCCCTATATTGAGCCTGTTGGCTCAGGGCCTATATTCGTATTGCAGAGTGCTTCATGTAACTCTGCAAAAATAAGAGCCTCTTACACTGAAGAGAATGAAATACAGAGATGACCAAGCTTCTCCAAATAGCCATTTTGCTCATTCTAAAATTCAGTTTTGCAGTTAGATTAGTTCTTACCTTTCAGTTGAAATGCAGCAAGCTTTAAAGGAAAACATAGAATCAATTAAAGCCAACATGGTGACTTCCCAGTTCTGAAGGTACCTATACCAGTCAGTGCTTATTTTCATTTGTTAACACTCAGAGACTTGGCTTTGATATAGATGCATCATCATCTTAGAGTTCTGCAAATCTGTAATTCCCTGCTTTTCTCTAAAACCCAGATGGCAGAGCTCCTCGGTAAGCACATGATGGGACAGTACAATAGCATTTAGCTGCCCTTTAAAGAAAAGAGACATTCAAAACTTCAGAAAATTAGAGCACCTGCCTAGCAAGTGTGAGGCCCTGAGTTCAAACCCAGTACCACCAAAAAAAAAATTCAGAGCATGTTAAAGGATATATCTTTTTGTAAACATTTTTATTAGTGTGTATTAATTGCACGGAATAATGACTTGCATTGTGACGTTTCACACATGCATATAACACACTCTGATCATATCTTAATATGAATGCTAATGGAGATTCTTTTGGAAAATTCAATACCTAAATTAGTTATTAAATGAGTATCAAATGCCCTAGCTCTGCAACTTTCTGCAATGCCTCCCAAACTGTAGTCATCCACTAAATGTTCATTCATAATAAATGAATGCAATAACCCAGACCTGGTGTGGAATACAGTCCGGGAGTTTATGAGAAGGAAAATGGTCATCATAATAATATAATCATATAACATGAAAATAATCAGGGGAAGCCATTGTGTATGAAGGCAGGAGGACACTACTGACTGTGTGTATTCTGACACTCCAGCTTTCAGTATTGCAGAAAAAGGAAGAAATATGATTTTCTACCTGCACCTAAAATACTAAGTAAACCCCAGGGGTAGCACAGAAGATATTCAGATGTTTGGGATAGCAGGCAACTTTATAGAAAACGTGGGTCTTGAGTGGGAACCTTAAAGTAAGAGTTTTCCAGTCTGCACCTAAGATTGATCAATAATTCTGTTTGTACTCTTCCCAGTGTCAAAATATCTGAACAGTACCATGCTGTCTTGGAATGAAGATGGCATCATCCACGGAGTCAGATACAAGAATGGGAATCTGGTCATCCAGTTCCCAGGTTGGTACTTCATCATTTGCCAACTGCAGTTTGTTGTGCAATGCTCAAATCATTCTGTAGACCTGAAGTTGGTGCTTCTTGTCAACACAGAGGTCAAAAAACAGGCACTGGTAACAGTATGCAAGTCTGGAGTACAAACCAAAACCATATACCAGAATCTCTCTCAATTCTTTCTGGACTACTTGCCGGTCAACACCACTATATCAGTCATGGTGGATAAATTCCAGTACGTGGATACAGACACCTTTCCCCTTGATAATGTGCTGGCCATCTTTTTATACAGTAGTTCACACTGAACAGTTTCTCTTGGCCTTCAGGAAGAAAATTCTTTACCATACAATACTTTATCCATCCAAACACTTGGAAAAAAAATTAAAACAAGATTGAAACCACAAAGTGTATTAAATAGTATAGTATTCCTTCTGTCTCTTGGAAAGATATAACTCCTGGGATAAAACAGTGACATATCTTTCAGATGCAAGTGGGGAAGCAATGTTGAGTGATAGACGAGTACCACTTGGGAATCAGAAGGAATTGGGTTGCACCAGCCCAACCACTAATTCACTATTTGACATCGAGCCATTCTTTCCCTCCGTGGAACTCAAGATCCAGGTCTGAAAAATTAGGGGACTGAGACTGAATCTGTCCAAAGTCTTCACCTCAGTAGTTCAGATTTGTGAGATGAAATTCCAGGAAGAGTTCTAGAAGCTTCAAACCAAAGCAAAGCTCAACATGCCAGAATAAAACCAATGATACCAGTCACATCTTGCTGCATGTCTTTTCAGCAGGTCATGGGGACAAGGTTCAAAAGGTGCCTTGCAGAATGATACTGTGTTCAGCAGCACTCCACCTGCTTGTAATGGCCCAGGTGATACTGTCATTTATCAGGGAATCACTGCTGCCATCTCCTGCATGATATACGTCTATTTTCTGCTTCAAATTCTCAGAAAGTGAGTTGTGTGGAGAGTTTTTAAGTCCCCACAAAGCTGGATAGATAATGATGATCCTGAAAATGTTGAGAAGAAATGAGAAGGAACAACCTCCTCTCCTAATTTGGATGGCCATGAGATTTCTCCACACGTGATCCTACTGCATCATTCTTGAAGGAGCACCTTTTTGTTGAAGGACTTTGATAAATCACTTCAGTTGTTGTGTGAGCCCTAGGGTTATGCTTCAGTAAGAAAAGAGGAACCCTCATGTGCTATGCAAAAGAGTGGAGAAAAGCCCGCATATTTCTCAAGAAGGAGAAGAGAAAAGTGAAGTTTGTCAGAGAAAGGCTAGAAGAGATTAAAAAGAAGAGCCAGCTGTCAGAGTGTGGAGGATAGGGACACAGGAAAACAAAAATGGCTAATAGAAAATGCAGCGTGCAATGTCAACCTCCTTCTAGGTCTCCTGTAGGACATGTTCAGTAAAGTCTGAATTTCTCTTTAACACCTTTTGTGAGTAGATTCTTTGGGAAGATAAGGCATTGGAAGAGGGGTTGGATTCCACAAGTCAAGTGGTCCATGGTCAAATAAGAACAGATTTTGAGAACACAAAGCTAGAGAATAAGGGGACATCTGGCAACTGAGTTGTACTCAAATGTCAGATAAATGAATCTTGATTAAACTAATGCATACATTCTTGGAAAGTTATATGCAACCTAAGAGTGTGTAAACTTAGCAAATGTTCTAGCCTCTCCTATTCTAACTCAAGAAAGAGTCCATTTTCATTATTCAAAAACAATCCTCTGAGCAGAGGTACCTTTTTCATTCTGAGTGGTTCCCAATTTCAGTCTCTGTCAAGGAGTAGAAAGCCAACAGCCACAGACACAAGGAGCACATCATTTCAAAGAGGATCGTGGTTCAAGACCAACCCAGGCAAAAGTTAGCAAGACTCTATGTCAAAGAACGAGCTAGGCATAGTGGCTCAGAGCTGCAATCTCAGCAATGTGGCAGGGAAGAGTATGAGAATTAAAAACCAAGGCTAGCCCTGGGCAAAAAGTGAGAGACTCTATCCAAAAAATAGCTAAAAATTAAAAAGGGCTGAGAATGGGGTTCAACAGGTAGAACACCAGCCTAGAAGCACAAAGCCCTGAGTTCAAAACCCCAGTATAACCAAAAAAAAAAGGAAAGAAAGAAAGAAGAAATGTAGCAAAATAAAATTTAAAAAGCCAATAATGATTAATAAGTCAATTGGTAAATACATAGGAAGTGAACAATAAGGAAGTTTAAAACCAAATTCTGTTTCTCTTGAGGGTTAACCAGTCCCTGGGAACTTTATAAGTAAATGACATTTTCTGCTCCACCCCAATTACTCCAGGATCATCACTCAAACATGAGACAGTCTGTCTCCCTCTTCTGTAGATTCAGTGATTAAATACAGGAAAGAGCTAAAGTCCTGCAACATGGAAGTTCTGACCCTCAGAAACTAAAGATATATATATGATAAAGTCAATACTTTCCAGTAAAAAAGATTGTTGTTTTAATTTGAATTTATACATGTATATGTGTATGTGTAAGTATATCTGTACACTTGTGTGTAGTATGTCTGTGTATGTATGTGTATGCATGTAGTAAGCCTGTGTATGTGTGTGTGGTATGTCCGCATGTATGTGTGTATGTGTAGTGCTCTGTGTGTATATATGTATGTGTGTAGTGTGTCTGTGTGTATGTATATGTGTGTTTGTAGCTGTCTGTCTGCATGTGTGTGTGTGTGTGTGTGTGTATGCTTTCCTTTAATACTTGTTTTACATGACATCTGCTTAACCTGGTTTAGGGGAGGAAACCTGATTCTTACTCTGGGAATTGCAAAATTTATATATGCTTATATTTATTTTTAATTAAGACAAGAAGAGAAAATATTTCCAGAATATTTCTTCCATACCTTATCAGCTTATTTAAGAACTATTAATATTTTGCCATATTTGCTTCTGCTTTTTTTAAAATAAAAATATAGTTTGAGCTAAGGTCCTCCTCTCCCATCTCCTACTCACTCTCCAGAGATAATATGACCACTGCCTGGAAGTTTGTGTGTGTCCTTCATTTACATAATTTTGCATTTGTTTTCCAATAAAAATATATCATTTTGTGTGACTTTTTAATTTTTAATAAATGATATGCTTTATATAACAGTTGATGACTTGCATTTTTCATGTAACATTAAATTTTTTAGATTTGTCCACATTGATACATGTAACTCTAGCTCAGTCATTTAAACGCTGTATATTTCATGGTTTGAATATACCATTGTTTGTCCACTGTCCTATGGATAAACATTTAATCTCTTTCCAGGTGCTTGCTATTATACATAATGCTATCATAAGCAATTCTTGTACAACAGTCCCCATCCCTTGTTGCCATTTTTCTACATGGCAAAAAATACTCTTGGAGAGCTGAACAAGTGGCTCAAGTGGAGAGCACCTGCCTGGCAAGTGTGAAGCCCTGAGTTCAAAGTCCTGTACTGCCATAAAAAATACTCTTGGAAAATATATTAATGGTGCCCCAAAGCTGTTGTGTTAGCTATACCTAGTGAGGGGTTAGACCTCTCTCAGATCACAGCTTGTGAACTGGAGCTTTGTCTCTGGTATCTGCAGGCCTCTTCCCATCTTTTCTAAGCTCTGCTCAGCTCTGTACATCCCATGCAACACTCATGGTCTTGGTGCTAATTTGATTCCAGGTCCCATGGTAGGAGCCAGATTACTATCCAGCACGGTGTGTGTGTATGAAACACACCTTTTCAGGCACTCTGGTGCTCCTCTGGATCCAGCTATCTTTCTGAAGAGTAAATGGAAAAACCCCAGAGTGTATGAAAGACAAGAACAACCCTAGAAAGAAATTCCTCCCTTGAGATGAAATATCCAGATTCCTTGGGGTCTGACCCTTTCTCTTTGTCCTCCCCACTGTCTCCCTAGGTAATTTAACCAAATTTCATGACTTTAAGTGGCATCTTTCTGCCAATGACTGTCAAAGATATCTCCAGATTTGACTTTCTCCTAAAGTCCACCCCATATCTTCAGTAGCCTTTGGGCTCTACCCACAGTTCTCTCTTGAGACCTTGCAGTGAACCTTGGTATGAAACACTAAATACATTGGTTTTCTAACTCTTTCTTTTTTTGACCGTGACCCAGAAGAAGAAACATCTTACATTGTCAATAAGGGCTGAAAAAAGAGAATCTTGTTGTTAGCAGTTGATCTGATTTTACAATGCCCTCATCAGTCACACACTACAGTGTGCACATCACTGTCCCAGTGTGCCTTCCTGTGCTCCTGAAGTTGCAAAGCTAAAAATATACTTTCTTCCTTCCCTTGCAGCTCAGCCTCTGGTATTATTGGGTCTGACATGTGCAAGATATGGGGATGTTTTTCCATTAAGCCACCATGCACAATTGTGGGAGGCACTCTGTTTTTTCTGCAGCTGTATTTACAGAAGTTCCAGTGTTCAGATACTAGCTTAATTAATAGCCATGACTCTGAGAGAGGGGGAAGAGGATCCATCTGTTAATGTAATCTGTTGCAGAAGCACATTGGTTCTAGAACTCACAGCAGTAACAGCTTCCTGACTGTAGTGGTTTCCTGTTCACAAAAACAGTGCTGTGGTTCTAGAAGGGCTAGTTTCCTGATTGCAAAATTATTGAAGAGACAACTGCTTCAATGCCATCTCGCTTCCTAGGAGTGTCTCCTGAAAGCTCATCTGTTTCCTCAGCCCTCTTAACAATTCTAGAAACCAGTTAGAATTCTGGAATTAATCCCTTGCTAGCCTTGCTAGCCTTGCTGGGCATGCTAACATGCCCAGTGAAGTCTGTCCTCTGCCACTGATCCCCAATTGATGCAACCACAATGTGTACAAACTGACTTCATGATACTCACTTCAGTCTTATCTCTATCCTACTTCCAAGTCTCATAGACTATCTCAGTCTCCATGGTCCTTCTCATCTCCTACGCGGTGAACCTCTGACCAGTCCATTCAGTCTCTAGTTCCAGCCACCAGCAACCCACATTGCTCACGGTACCTCTCAACTCACCTCCCTGCTCCAGTCTCACTCATTACAAACTCACCTTCAGACTGCATTACCTCTTCACTGCACTTGAGACTGAGAGTAATAATGGTCATTTATCAAGTTCTTACATGTTGTGCCCATTTCATGTGTGTAACACCCATTTAATCCTTAAAGCAGTCTTATGAAGTAAGAAGGACCCAGTTTGTCCGTCCCCACAGCCCACAAAATCCAATCATGCGAAGTCTATTTGACTTCCTGAACCAGAAGTTCTTTCCACTGGGTCCCTGTCCAACAAGATCCCTCACATCTCTCACTTCATGTCCACCCCCATCTTT